CCAGATGTAGTGGGAGATCCTGTCCTTTGTAAGCTAAGGTCTTTCCCAGGTCTCAGTTTGTCTGAGGCAAAGCCCGTTCAGTAATTAAAGGCTAGGTAAGAATTGAGACAAAAGATGGCCTACCTTCATAAAGAATCAATTTGGGAGGGGACAACCCTCAGAGTTTCTGGATAACAGAACCACATATTAAGCCTAAAGCTGGTCCCAGTCAGAAAAACAAATATTTTACAATCACCTCAATGCTGAAACCTTTTACAGAAATCAAAGCTTTGTCCATTCAAGTAATTACAATAATAGCACTTTAAGGTTTGCAAAGTACTTCACAAATATTAACTCATTTGATCCTGACATTAAGCTGGGAAAGCAGATGTTATCATTATCCCCACTGACCCAATAGAAATTAAGGTAAACCAAGGCAATTAACAAAATAATAGAGCAAAATTTCCAGCTACATAGATGTGTCTTCTTCTGATTAATAATATGTAGCCAGAATTGAGATTACATCATTTGGACCTCCCTTTCTGAAATCCCTTTAACCACAGCCAACACATGTAATTCAAGTTAGAAAACAATGATTCCCGGGAGATGAGACTGAGATTTGACCTTTTTGGTTAATCAAGTTTCTCTGGAAAGGGGGTGATGGGCAGGGTTACAAAAGTGGAGGTAATTACAAAACAAAAGCTTGATCTTTAGGTAAGTTTCTCCAGGGAATGTGAGTGGTGAGTGAAGTTGAAAGGGTGGAGATACCAGTTACAACACAAGAATTATGAGACAAGTGGCCTGAGGATACCTGAGTAAAATTTACAGAGGGGAATACCAAGCCTTAACAATGGAATTAAAATCAGAGACTCCATCCATACTTCCTTGCATCTCAGCCTCAGAGGATGCATTGAGTCACAATCATTTGCAAACAAAAAGTCATGCAACAATTCTCCCTCCACTTTTAGTCTTGGCTTGCAGCCTTTTCAAATTAAATAATTAACCATCAGTGTGGCAGCTGACCTTGACACCATTTTCATCCTTGTTGAAGGTGTCCAACAACATTGTTGAAAACAACATGCTAAAAAGCATGGAAGGAAGCATACAACCCTGCTTCACTCCACTGGTGACCGGGAAATTGACAGAGTACCTTCCATTTTCCAGAACCTGGGCAAACATGCCATCGTATAACTGGTGTCCAATACTGATGAATTTCTCTGGGCGCCCAAATTTTGCCATAATTTTCCACAAGCCCTCACAACTGACAAAGGCAACATCATATATAGAGCAATGTTCTACTCCTGGCATTTTTCCTGAGTTGTCAGACAGCAAATACCATACCTCAGCCCTTTCCAAAACCACACTGACTCCCTGGTAGATGACCATCTTCCAGGTGAAGGATCAACCTATCAAGGAGGGCTCTGGCAAGAATCTTGCTAGCAATGGCAGACAGAGAGAGAGAGAGAGAGAGAGACACACACACACACACACACACACACACACACCAGTCCCCTGACTGTCACAGGACAATCTATTTCCTTTCCCTTTGTACAAATGTACAGTGGAGGCATCTGCGGACTAACCCAGAAAATTTCAGTCAGCTTTTGTGTGAGCAGTGGAACCCCCACCTCCGACCTCGCCTTGGAAATCTCACCTGGAATATAATCAGCACCAGGTACTTTGTCACACGAGTGAAACCTAATGCCTTTCAAGACTTCTTGAGTTGGAAGTTTGGCTAGAGAGGTACTGACTTCAACCTAAGGTATATGGTCAGTGGTTTCAGCACTGATTGATGACGGTCTGTTTAGAACACTATGAAAGTGCTCAGCCCATCTCTCCAGGATCACGGCCTTAGCACTAATCAATGTGTAGTTGAGACGCATTGCAGGTCTTCGGCTGATAAATAGCCTTCAGGGCATCATAAAAGCACTTTGGATGGTCACTTATAAGCGTAAAACTGAAGTTCATCTGCTTTCTTACTGAGCCAAGAATCCCGCATCTCTCTAAGCTTCACTTGCACTTTACTTTTTGTTAGAGTTAGAAGGGCTTACATTTCCACAGGTAGAATAATGCAGAGATTTAAAGAACAGCTCCAGGAAGTAGTACACTGTAGGTGGGCTCGGGTTTAGCCAATAAAAAGTAAGCTGGTGGTTCCAAAAAGACCCCAAAATCAAGGCAAGGGTCGAGCCAGCTCAGACACCTAAGGACACCTGAAAAATGTTAGTGCGCCTGCTTAATGAACTTCATTACTATTATCTGACACACCCCGCATAAAATTAGAGCCTCATTAACGAGTCATGGGACGTATGACCAAGGGAGGGGAACATACTTGAGCATATCAAGGGGAAACATGTAAGGAAAGGTGTAACCTGGGAAGGGTTGGACCAATCCAGGCCTGGGAGGTTTCGTGCCCAATTCAACTGCATAAAAGCACACTTGCCCTTGCACTCAGGGCCCACCCCTCCTGAAGAGGGGTGGAGCCCGCTTCGGGCCAGAAACATCTAAACCTCTGGACTTTCTCTGTAATAAATTTTCTTGATACTAAATTTTTGGTGTCAAGCATATTTCTAACACTTTTGATGGAGTTAAATGCTGCCTTCTTAGAGATAGATGTACTATCCTGATGGTAAACCCTATGAAGTTCTGAATTTCTTCCATCATTTTCATCAAATCAGTCTTGATGTCTGCAAGTGTTCTGGCCCAGATGAGTAAATGCTGTGCTGTACACCAGATCTCTGAAAGCTGCCCACTTCTTTTCTGCTCCACTATTGCCAGTTTTTTTCTCCAAGTTAGCAACAGTCTGTTCCTGCTCAGAAAAGGGCTTTAATCTGTTGATACAAACATTTTCTGTTAGTTGTCTTGCCTTGAGGGTTAATATTTAGCTTAGAGAGGAAAGGTTTACGATCAATCCATTATTTTAAGCCACACATTGCCTTTTTCACTGTCACACCCTGTCTGTCTCTTCTCCTTACAATCACACAGTCCATTAAATACCAACATGTGCTGTGAGGGTGCATCCGTGAAGTTTTATTACGTTTAGGTAAACAGAAGGCAAGTGTGGATGATGAGAAGGTCATGAGATGCACAGGTCTTCAGGAGTAAGTGACTGCTGTTGCTGTTTCCGACTCCACTCTTCCCAAGGACTCCCTGCTGTGTGGGATGCCATTCAAATTAAAAATAAAACAAAACACAGAGGTGTCCAAGGAGAAACAGAAAGTTAATTTATTATAGCTATAATTATTATTGTTATCTCAAATCTCGAGATTTGGGTGTCCCTCCATCAGTAAGCTCTGATGAGGGGAGATGACCTGAAGAGGCAGAAGACAATTTTATATGACCCTGAAGGTTCAATTCCCCCTCCCTCACAGCTGTCCATTGACTCGGCTCACAATCTCACAAGCCAGACTCTAACATAGGACAAAGGACGTAGTATATTTATTAGTTTGTTGAGATAATGTCAAAGAAGCAATAAAAAAATGTGCAGTTAGGAAGATTTACAATTTACAATTGTTTTGGAAGGTCTTAGGGATCGAACAGACGATGCTGGGAACTGGAAGACATCTGAATAAGATCCTGTCAAAGGGAGATAAGGGGAGTAGATAAGGAACCTTTTAAGGATTTTCTGGAGCCAGATTCCTTTAGGGGCAAAGATGCATTTGAATAAGATTAAAAAGTAAGTTGAGACTTAACCACTAGACAAATTTAACTACTAATATGTCCCTGAAAAAACAACTCACAGAAATCTATTCATAACCCTATCCTGCCTTCTGAACTCATTACCTTAATTGCACTGAGAAGTTCACTGGGACATCCCATTCACTGCCATGTCTGGTAACCTATGCCTACTCTTGTATTAGTCACCCAGGTTTATAAGCCTATCCCCTTTCAGCACGTGGATGATGGATGGGGGTCTCCAGGTCTTCATAAAATTTTTCTTTGACCTCATCAGGGTTGGTCATGGGGGGAGCAGATGCACTAATGATGGCAGCGCGTGTTTTCCTGCAAGTGGCAATCACATTGTGATGAATCAGTCATTCACTTCTTTTGGTAGGCATACAAGCTTGTTGACTAGATGAGTTTTTATTGCGAAACCCACGCCAGCTTCAGGACGCTCCCCTTCACTGTGGCCACTCCAGAAAAACGTGTATTCAGCTCCAACTGGGGTAAGCTGGCCTTCCTTTGCCAGCCTTGTTTCAGCAAGACTCTTATGTGGATGTCATATCCGCTGAGTTCTCTTGCAACAAGAATTGTTGATGATTGATTAGAAGGGGTATCAGAATGCATGCCATCTTGTGGTGGGGAAAGGGACGAGATGGGGAGAAAATTTGGAACTCAAAATCTTGTGGAAGTAAATGTTGAAAACTGAAAATAAAGATTAAACATTTTTAAATAACAGAGAAACCTTTAATAAGGAAAACTGGGCACACAATTCAAGGTGAATCATATGATACTAATATATGGCGGCCGAAACAAACAAACAAAACTCTAAGGAGGTCTTGAGTTTCTTTAGGAGGAGCAGTGTCCAGTTCTCGGGGTGCCCTCTATCTGGGGCATGGTGACATCTTAGGAAGCTCCTGGACGCGCAGAAGGGTCTGCAGAGGAGGCAGAATGAAAGCCCCTGCGGCCAGGCACTGGTGGTGGGGTTTTTTTATTTTTTGTTTTTTAATCTTTGCACTTCCAGAACCTGGTGAGGAGCCTGGCCAAGACCAAGGCTTGTTAACTTGACTTGAATCGAGGGTAAAGGGCAGAGGGAGGGGACTGGTGAACAAACGAGCCTCGGAGGCTTGGCTGAAGGATCTAGGCGTGTTTTGACTTGCTTGAGAGGAGGGTGGAAGGCCGAAGTCCTGTAATACTCGGCGGGAGGGCCATGCACCAAAGGGCCACGAGGGGGGAGCCGGAGGACCAGGACATACAGGGGAGCGTAGGGGACTGTAGCGACCCGCTGCGGGCACGCGCTCCCAGGTGCAGGCTCCGCCCCCATGGGCAGGCCCCGCCCCCGCCCTGTGCGCGGCCCCACCGTGTGACCCCGCGCGCGTACGGCGCCTGCGTGGTTCGAGCGTTCTGGTATGAGGCCGTTCTGGAGATCGTTGGGATTACCAAGGATGGTAGGGGTGTCTTCCCTGCGGGCTGTAAGTTCCCCCCCGTGCACCCACACACACACCCCCCAACTGCTCTGCACCCCGGCTCTTCCCTTCTTTTCTCCGCCCCCTTCTGTCTTCAGTGACGCCCGCCACCCTGACCTTAACTGAGTTTGGGGAGGAGTTGAAGGGGGAGGGTCAGGGGCAAACCTGGCTTAGGAATCGACAGGATTCGCACTAGGCCCCTTTTCCCTTGGGCCTGGCAGGCTTAGGGCCTCCCTTTCCGTACCTCCAAAATGAAGCCTTTGGACCGGATGATTCCTCCTTCCAGTCCGTAAGCATTTATGAGGCGCCTACTGTATGCCAGGCACTAGGCTATGTGCTGGGGATAGGAAGAAAGGCGAAAGACAGACCCTGCCCTCGAGGAGCTCCTGGGGAGCACAGCTTGCAAACAGTTCTGTGCAGTCCCCTTGCCTGGAACACTCCCCCGACTCCTGACCTCCCTGGCGGCCTTTAAGTCCCACCTAAAAGCCCACCTCCTACAGGAAGCCTTCCCGGGCCCTTCGTGGATGATTTCCCATTTGTCCCCCATATGCTCTGCATATGTTTGCTTGCATAATTATTCTCCCAGAGAGGAGAAAAAACCTGCTCCTGGTCCCATAACTAGTAAATATCAGAAGTGGGATTTGAACCCAAGTTTTCCGGAGTCCACTCTGATCTATTCTTGCGCCTGTTCTCTTTGCGGGGGGGAGGTGACAGTTCAAGTTAGCCGTCGATTATGGAGTACCAGACTTTGAGGGCACACTGTAAAGTCTAGGTAAGACACGGTCCCTGCCCTGCACGGAGGCACACTGTCTAGTAATAACAACGGCACCTCAAGTTTATATAGCACTCTGCAACCCTGAAAGTTAGGTGCTGTTATCCTGTTTTACAGATTTGCTGTAAGTGAGGCACCACAGAGGTTAAGTGACTTGCCCAGGGTCACACAACTGGTAACTGGCTGAGTTGGGACTCAGACTCCGTCTTCCTGACTCCACAGACCAGGGCTCTACCTCATGCACAGACACAAAAATCTGTAACAGATGGAAGTATAGGACAGTTAAAAATCAAAGCTTTAGGGACAGCTAGGTGGCACAGTGGATAGAGTGCCGGCCCTGAAGTCAGGAGTACCTGAGTTCTAATGCGGCCTCAGACACATAACACTTACTAGCTGTGTGACTCTGGGCAAGTCACTTGACCCCAATTGCCTCACAAAAGAAAAAAAAAGAGTAAAAAAAAATCAAAGCTTTAGGTGGGGTCTGAGGAGATGTTGTGGGTCAGAAAGGACTGAAATTCTTCCCTGAGGACCTTGTGCTGAGGGAGGGGTAAATAAATGGGAACTTCTACATTTGCTCTTGAAGACAGATCCCGGCAGTAGAACAGTTTCTGTGTTATTTGTGTCGTTTTAAAAAAGATGGATGTCCTCCATCTCCTGCTAGAGAAAGGATGGACTCCAGGTACATATCGAGACATCCGTCTTTTGGACGTGACCAGTTTTTGCTTGGTTATAAATGTTTGTTACAAGGCTCTTCTTTTGTCTTTGAGGCATGGGAAGGGGGAGGGACAAAAGGTGGGGTTTATTGTTGTTGTTAATTGAAATAAATAAATTTAAGTTTTTTTAAAAGGTGGATTTAGGGGCAGCTAGGTGGTGCAGTGAATAGAGCATCGGCCCTGAAGTCAGGAGCACCTGAGTTCAAATGCAACCTCAGACCAAACACTTGCCACTTACTAGCTGTGTGACCCTGGGCAGGTCACTTAACCCCAATTGCCTCCCCCCCAAAAAAGGTGGATTTCAGGCTTGGAAGGTTCCTTTTTGTTCATAATCTGGGCCAAAGGATTAAAATGGTGTTCGTGTTTCTGAATGATGTTCAGTTATTTGAGTTATTCCTTCTCTTCCTTCCTGTGTTCAAGATCAGCTCATTCAGTCTACCTGCACTCCCAAAGAAGGTTAAAATCGTGGAGGTCGGCCCTCGAGATGGTCTGCAAAATGAAAAGGTAAACGTGGAAAATCTATTAACCCAGCACTTATGGAATACCTGCTATGTTGGCTCATTCAGATATGGTATTTAATTCATTCACCAAGCACTGGTAGAGCTGAGACAAAGTGGTGTTCAGGGATGGCAATCAGTAAGGAGACAGTAGGGACTAGAGTGCCGGACCAAGGAGTCAGGGGACCCTGGGTCCAGATCCCACCTCAGACACTTACTAGATTACCTCTCTTTACTTCGCTGAGCCTCAGTTTCCTCAGCTGTAAAATGAGGGAGTCAGAGCGGATAACCCAGAGAGTTCTAGGTCTATGATTCTGTCATCTCTAAGATGTAAAATGGTCTGTTCCTCTTACTTAGATGTCATGTGGAGTCATTCCAAGCTTAGAGGAGTGGCATGAAGATGGACATGGTAGTTTCAGTCTAGAACAAGAGATTAGAGGAGGGAGAAATCAGGCGCTAGGACCCACAGTGCTAGAGGGTCTGGAGTAGAAAGTCAGCAGTTCAAAGTGAAGGAAGAATTGACGGGACTTGAGGACCAGCTGGATGGGGGCTGTGAGGGAGAAGTTCTGGGGACAAGCAGGTGAAGGAGACGAAGGGTTGATGGCAGCTGTGGGGCGTGCCTGCAGGTGTGTGGGCTCTGGGGTGCAGTGCTGTTCTGCATCCGTGTTCCCTGTGGTTCTTGTCATTTGGCCAGTTTCTGGCCCAACGTAAATATTGACTGAGCTTAAGAAAGATCCTGCCCTGTGGACCAGGGCTTGGCCTAGGAGTCTGCATGACAGTTCAGAGGTTGGGTTTGCTGTTGAGTCCCAGGGCCAGGAACTTCCTGCTATAAGTTCATTATTGAGTTCTCTCTCTGCCTCTCTTCCTTCTGCAGTCTATTGTACCTGCTCAGTTGAAAATCAGGCTGATAGACATGTTGTCTGAGTCAGGACTCCCTGTCATTGAGGCCACCAGCTTCGTTTCCCCCAAGTGGGTGCCCCAGGTGAGAGCAGCCTGCAGGGTGGGGCTTTTGGGGTTAGAAAGCTTCACTTGTTGTGCTGGGAATTGAAATCTTTTGCAGGTGGGTATTGCTAGGCTTCTTTGGGCATACCATGCCCTTGTCCATCATAGTCTCCTGATCTAGTCCAGCAAAACATTTATTAAGCCACTGCTGTGTGCCAGACCCCACTGGGGTACAGTGACAAAAGGAAACTGTCCCTGCCTCCAAGGAGCTTACTAAATTCTACTGGGGCCGGGGGATACAGTAGAGAAGGAGAGGGTGCTACAACTTGGTGGGGGGGCCAGGAAATCTCCATGTAGGACATGGCCAGGAACTGAGCCCCAAAGGGGCCCAGAGTTTGGGGAGGCTGGAGTGAAGGTCACATCACATGTCTACACTGCAGGCCTCCCTCACTTCACTCTGAGCAGTGGTATAGAGGACAAATCTAGGAGTCAGGAGGCCTTCATTCCACAGCTGGCTCTGCTCACTGAGCGTGGCCTGGGCCAAGTCATTTCCCCTCCATGGGCCTCAGTTTCCTCCTCATTAAGAGGTTTGACTAGATGACATGGAGTCCCTTCCCACTCAAAGCTGTGAGCTTATGACCCTGGAGAATTCACAGCTTCTCGTGGCCTTAGTTTTCCCTTCTGTAAAATGGGGCCCCTGATCCTGTGCCTTCCCGTTTGGTTGTACACCTCGTTTGTCACCACCCTCACTGCTGTTCTGTAGGAGCCGGGCCTTCTGTTCCACTGCTGGGGGCTCAGCACTCAAGCCTACGTCCTGCCCGGTGCCTCAGTTTCCTCATCTATGTAGTGGGGTGCTGCTAGATGGCCCCTGAGGTCCCTTTTGGTTCTAGCCCTCTGACTCTTCAGATCCTGGGTGATTCTCTGTAACTGAGAATCCTGAATGCCCCAGGTTCCTTCTAACCCTGGGGTGCTTCTCTCCCCCCTCCCCAGATGGCAGACCACGCTGAAGTCCTGAAGGGCATCAGGAAGCTTCCTGGCATCCGCTACCCAGTGCTGACCCCCAACCTCACAGGCTTCCAGGCAGCGGTAAAAGGAGCATGTTCCATCGATCAGAGCCCAAGCTTCAGGCCTTGGCTCCCAGCGACCCCTGCTGGTCTCTGAGGCTCAGTGCTCACCCCCTCTGGGAGGGCCTTGCTCTGGGAAGGGTTATTTTGTTTGCTTTCCCCAGTGGAAAGAGCACCGGGCTTGGGAGCCAGAGGACCTGGGTTCAGATCCTGCTTCTGCCTTTGCAGCCATGGGCAAGGCACGTGAGGCCCCTTTGGGCCTCAGTTTCATCATCTGTAATATGAGGAAATTGGTTCCAAGGCCCTTCCAATTCTAAATTGACTCTAGTGACCTTTTAGCTAGTCTAAACAAGCACTGAGTTACTGTTTCCATTCCCCAGACGTGTATTAAATGCCTGTTATGTATTAGGTCCTGAGGTGACAAAGATAGAAAGAGAGCCAGCTCCTGTCCTCGAGGAGCTTCCACTCTGAGCCTCTAATTGTAGAACGCTTAGTGCCGTAGGATTATCACTGCAGCGGAGGAGACACGACGGGTATACAGAATCAGTAAGGGTTGCTGCCAAGGTCTGTCAATTCCCAGTGAAAAAGGCAGTTAGCCAAGGCTTGGATCCTGGGTCTAACTGAACAGTTTCCCCATCGATTGGCCGTCAGACCCCTGGTTGAGAAGAGGGCTTTAGGTGCTATTGTGGTGCTCCCTCTGACCCCTAGGAAGCACAGCTGCTGAGCTGGAAGGGGCCTCGGGCCAGCTGATTGGACCCCCTCTTTTTAGAGAGGAGGGAGGTGCCCCAGGTTCCAAAGGCAGGAGGAGGCAGAGCTGGGCGCTGAAGGCAGGCCGTAGCTCCAGAGCCAGCATTGTTGTTACAGGCGTACTGCAATTGTTGCTAGGTTTCTTCGGGGGCCGAGGAAGTGGCCATCTTTGGGGCTGCTTCGGAGCTCTTCACCAAGAAGAACATTAACTGCTCCATCGACGAGAGCCTGGAGCGCTTTGAGAAGGTCCTGAGTGCTGCCAGAGCCGCCGACATTCCTGTGCGAGGGTGAGCCCACAGGCCCTGCTTTCCCTGCCCCTCAGAAGCTCCCTGCAGCATGGCTCGAGGCAGCGGCCACTCATCCCTCGGTTTGTCGGGGGAGGCCTGAGCTGAATCTGCCGGGGCAGCATGCTGCCTCGGTCTGAGGGCCACCACCCGTCGTCTGGGCTCTGCCACCAGCTGTGCCGGCTGGATCGCAATTCAGAAAGTCTGGGTTCAGATCCTTGCCACTTGCTCCTTGTGTGGCCTTGACAAGTCTCTTAGCCTCAGTGGGCCTCGGTTTTCTGTTCCTTAGTGTGAGGAGGTTTCACTGGATGGCCTCTGAGGTCCCTTCCAGCTCCGAAGCTTGTGACCTTAGAGCCTTCTCAACCTCTGTGAGCCTCAGTTTCCTCTCCTGTATATTGAGGTTTCACTGAAGGACCCTCTGAGGTCCCTTCCAGTTCTGAAGCTTGTGACCTTGGAGCATTCATGATCACTCTGAGCATCAGGTTCCCCATCCATAAAATGGAATCCATGATTCCATGACTTTGAGAGATGCAGTGAGAAAATGAAGTCAGAAAAATGGAAAAAGTCTTGGTTCTTTTGAATTCTCGGTGATTCTAAGACAGCATTACCATTATTAGTGAGAGCCTCCACTGACATCCTTCACTGATGCCTCCTCATGGCATAGAGGAGACCCTGAATCTCCCCAAGCTCAGCACAAGCTCTCCAAGGCAAGCCCTTGACCTTTGTCTGGAAGGCAGCCCCAGGAAGCGTAGAGGGGTGCATTGTCACTGGGTAATGACCTTTGGCCCCAGCAGCTTGTCTCCATAGGAAGGGCTGTGATCTGCAAATCTACGTAGGTGGAATCATAGGCTCTTAGAAGTGTTATTCAGGTTTAGGGAAAACATTCCTATATGAAGACCAGACTCCTTCCCTTGTGACTGTGGCCTTGTTGGGAAGATGAGAGCCTGGGGCCTGGCCAACCATCTTGGCTCAGGCTTCATACGTCTCCCCCCGGCCCCAGCAGAGGGTGGGCGGGGGTAGCATGACCCCTCACAGGGCTCTGTCTGGGCCTTGGTTCTTTCACCACTTGGGGCTTCCCTGACAAGGGCGTGTTTTCCTGGCAGGTACGTGTCCTGTGTGCTTGGATGCCCGTACGAAGGGAAAATCTCCCCAGCCAAAGTAGCTGAGGTGTGTCTCTGTTGGAATGGGAGTTTTGTGAAGGTTTGGCTGCCTTGTGGGTGGGAAGACCACGGGAGGCCAGGGGCACCGAGAGCTCACAAGCCTTCTCCACAGCCAGTGGTTTTCCAGCCTCTGCTGACGGACTTTCCCAGATGGGACCCCGAAGGCTCCAGAGGTGGCCCGTTCCACTCCAGGACGCTGTCAGGAATGGGGGAGTTCCTTCCCTTGCGTTGAGTGACATTCTGCTCCTCTGAACCTGAAGCCGAGCAGAGCCAAGCTCAGCAACCCCTCCTTCCTTCCAGTGTTTGGAGGCGCTGTTTGTGCTCCCGTGAAGCCCTCATCATTGAAGGGTCTGTCTGAGAACTAACCCATGTTCACCAGGGGACAGGCAACCTTTCCCATATGCAGGGCTCACCTGAAGTCTCATTGGAGAGATTATTTCTGTGCCTGGATGTGGGCTCTATGAATCCCTTGCCCTCTTTCCAAGGGAAAAACATTAGCAAATGTTAGCAAACATTTATCTATCATCTGTGGACATAGCTCTAGGGAAAGCTAGGGGAGAAATGGAAACTGGGGTTGGGAGAGTAATGTGATTGCTGTCCTGTGGGAGAGAGAGTTTGGGCGTCTTCTCTGGGCGGCTGCTGCTTCTTAAGCAAAGACTGATGGAGATTTTTCAAGGGTGCTCTAAGAAGCAGTTCGTGCACGGGTGTGAGTTTGGTTTAATGGCTTCTGACAGCCCCTCCAGCCCTGTGACTCTTGGGTGTTACTGAGGCAAGATCCGGAAGAAATGTCTCCTGTGATTTTCCTCAGCCCTAGATGAAGTTGCCTCTTTATGCCATGACCACTTGGTGGCCATATTGCAATAGAGGGCCGAGTGTTTCTCTTCCTTCACCTGTATCTCTCAGTCTGTGGAGGTCACCCCCTGCCTAGTGTCCTCTTCACTCTCCAGGTGGCTAAGAAGCTGTATTCAATGGGCTGCTATGAGATCTCACTGGGTGACACTATTGGTGTGGGCACCCTGGTTGGAATGAAGGATATGCTGTCTGCTGTCATGAAAGAGGTGCCAGTGAGTGCCCTGGCCGTCCATTGCCATGACACCTATGGACAAGCCCTCACCAACATCTTAATGGCTCTTCAGGTAAAGGAAAGGAAGTGAATCTTTAACAGAGGAAACGTATGCTGTGGGGGGAAGGGAGGGGTAGAATCGGATCTAATAGACACGGGTTGAAATCCTGGCGCTTCTGCGTTGGGCAAGTCACTTAAACCCTTGGTCTCAGTTTCCTCCTTTGTAAAATGAGCAGGTTGGACTAGATGATGTCACAGCCCTTTCCAGATCTGAGTCCTATCATCCCTTCTCCCAGAGATCCCAGAGGGGTGGACGTTAGTGTGGTTTGCACTGAGGCTCTGTTCTGCTAACATCCCCGTGAAAAGGAGACTCCATCAGTTCCATTCATTGCCCTCGTAAGGAATAAAGTTCTTTGGATGCCAGCCCTACGTCTGAAATATAACCACTCACCTTACCTTGCACACCCTAGGGTTGAACAACAAAGTGATAAGCACCTGAATACTAAACCCAGACTGAGCTCTCAGCCCAGAATGGAAGAGGAGAAGAAGAATATAATAGCTAACCCGTAGCTAATGTGTTGTATAACTAATAACTAACATATAGCTAGTATATAATAATACTAGTTAACATTTGTATAGCATTTACTATGTGTCAGGCACTGTGTAAATTCTTTACAGTTATCTCATTTGATCACCACAACAACTCTGGGAGATGGGTGCTATTTTTAACCCCTATTTTACAGATGATGAAACTGAGGCAAACAAGTTAAGTGACTTGCCGCAGCTAGTCAAGTGTCAGAAGCCTGATTTGAACTCAGGTCTTCCTGACTCCAGGCCCAGCACTCTGTCTACTGTGCCACCTAGCTACTAAAACAAATACACAAATAATAAATCACTCAGGAATTCTTTGTTAAGCACTTACTCTGCCACGTACTGCTAGGCAACAGGCATACAGAAACCAAATGAAACAGTTCTTGCTTGCAAGGAGCAGATGTTTTCTTGAGGGAACCCACAAGGGGAATGATCAGGAAAGGCTGTGTGTAGAAGAGGGATTCACTTAGGCGAAGGTAAGGAAGGAGCACATCCAGGGCAAAGATGTGGAGACTGGAGATGGAGTGTATAAGGATGAAAAGTAGTTTGAGGCAAAGTTGTGGAGGGGTTGAAGAGCTAGACAGGAGTGTCTGTTTAGAATCGGAGGCGGCAGAGATCAGTCACTTCTGCCCAGGATTGGGTGATCTTCTGAGTCTTCATGGAGCAGATGGCATCCTGAGTTTTGTCTCAAAAGATGGGGGAAGCATTTGCAGCCAGCACTAGGAAGAGTCAATTCCAGGCTCAGAAGGGGGGAGGGCAGAGGAAGCTAGAGGGGTGGCCAGAGCTTGGGGTCAGCCTCATCAGCTCTAGTCCCCTTTGCTGTCCTGTCTTCTCAAGGCTAGATAGGCCCGTGACCTCCCCTCTCTCTTCAGGTGTCTGGTCTTTCTTTCCTAACTTGTGTGGTGGCCAGCATCAGGAAGAGGGAGAGCTGGCAACAGCTTGGAGGGTCCTAGCCCAGGGGAGGCACCAGAAGCCAGCTCCTCTGCCCGTTTACCTGTTGGTAGAGATTTTCTGAGAAGATTTAATTCCTTCATCACCAGCTGTGGCCTCTCAGTCACCTGACTTAGTCTTTTCCTCGCTGTCTTCCCTGGGCATTGGAGAGGAATTTTCTAAATATCTGTTTACTTGTTTGTGTTGGTGAGGCAGTTGGGGTTAAGTGACTTTGCCCACGGTCACACAGCTAGTTAAGTGTCAAGTGTCTGAGGCCAGATTTGAACTCAGGTCCTCCTGACTCCAAGGCTGAAGTTCTATTCATTGTGCCACCTAGCTGCCCCTAAGAGGAAATTTTAAAGAACCTTTGTGGCATGTACTCACCATGACCAGGACTGGTTGACCTAGGCAGAATTATGAGGTTTGAGGCCCTAGGATTCCCTGACTTTGTCTCTCATTTACCACTATGGGCCCTGAGTAAGTCATGCTACCTGTGTGGGCCTCAGTTTCCTAGCCCTGTAAAATAAGAGTATTGCAAAGCACTGGATTTGAATCCTGCTCTACTGCTTACCACCTGCAGGACTGTGGGAAGGTCACTTCACCTCTCAGGGCCTAGGTTGTCCTCTTCTATAAAATGAGTCATCAGAGTAGATGGCCTCCAGGGTGCCTTCCAGTCCTAACATTCTGAAACTTTCAAGTTTGTTTTTGATTCGTCCCACTTAAACATTTTCTCCCTCTCTGGATTTCTCCTACCTTCATACCCCCAGGTATCTCCTAAAGTTTTATTCCTCTTCCTATGTACCTGTAATATTTTCCCCCTGGAAAGAAATCCAGTAAAATAATCCACTTTACAGTGAGGTGTCTGGGCCTGATGACAGCCTAATGTGTTTATGTTTCCCAGGGGTCTTTACTTGTAACAAGTAGCCCCTTAAGCCCAAGGAATGGCTCCTCGGTGGTGGAGTTGCAAGCATCTCCTCCAACCAAGGGGGGGGAATTCACAGAGGTCGAGGGAATGTCCCAGAATCCTCAAAAGCAAAGGTGGCCTCCTTGCACAAGGCAGCCATTTCTCGTTGTACTTACATTTCCAGATGGGAGTGACTGTGGTGGATTCATCGGTTGCTGGGCTTGGGGGCTGCCCCTATGCTAAGGGTGCATCAGGAAATGTGGCAACAGAAGACCTTCTGTACATGCTGAATGGACTGGGAATCGAAACAGTGAGTATCATCTGCCCCCTAGTGGTCACGGTGCCAAAGCCACCAGACAGTTCTTTGGTTTACATTATCCCCTACCTGAACAGACGGTTTTCCTGAAGGGGCCTGGTATTTTTCTGCACAAAATTAAGGAGGAAAAGATCAACAAACACAGATTTCATGGTTATGTGGATGCCCTGGATGCAGCAGAGTTAATAGGCTGCTGAAGTGAGGCAGTCAGGAGCCATGAAACATTAGGAATAAAAGAGAGCTTAGAGCAAAGTAGAATGTGGAAGCCAAAGTAAAAACTTAAAACACAGGAAGTCAGCGGTAGAGAGTCTAACGTATTGATAGGAAATGACTGCAGTGTGGCTGATAAGAGATCATCTGGTCCTTGCTTGAAGACCTAATGTTGGGAACCCAGTGCTCCCTAAGAGCCCATTCCACTTGGCAACAGCTTGCTTTGGTTTTGTTGTTGTTTTTTAATTTTTAATTCTCAGTTCTAAATTCTCTCCCTCCAGCCTCTCCCCCACACATTGAGAAGCAAGAATACTCTAGTCATTATACAAGTGAAGTCATACAAAACACTTGGGGGGGGGCAAGAAAAACAAATCTGCTTCATTCTGCATGCTGAGTCCATCAGTTCTCTCTCCCTCTCAAGATGGATGGCATTTTTCATTGTGAGTCCTTTGGAATTGTGATTTTGTATTGATCAAAGCAGCTGTCCTTCACAGTTGATTATCAGTACAGTATTGCTTTTACTATTCTAACAATTGCTGTTAGAATTTTCTCCTGGTTCTCCTTACTTCCTTTGGCATCAGTTCATACAAGTCTAACCAGTTTTTTCTAAAACCATCATTTCTCTAAAACATCATTTCTTGTGGCACAGTAGTATTCCATCGCAATCATATACTACACCTTGTTCAGCCATTCCCCCACTGATGGGCATTTCCTCAGTTTCCAATTTTTGCTACCGCAAAAGAACTGATACAGATATTTTTGTGCATATGAGTCCTTTTCCCTTTTTTTCTCTGCGACGGCCCTCATCTCCTTGGAGTATAGACCAAGGAGTGGTGTTACTGGGTCAAAAGGTATGCATAGTTTTATAGACTTTTGGGCATAGTTTCAAATTGTTGTCCCAAATGATTGGAACACAATCCACCAATAGTGCATTACTGTACCTGTCTTTCCTCATCCCCTTCAACATTTGCACTTTCCTTTTCTGTCATGTTAGCCAATCTCATAGGTGTGAAGTGGTACCTTAGAGTTGTTTTAATTTGCATTTCTGTAGTAGTAAATTAGAGCATTTTTATATCATTATTGCTAGCTTTGATTTTTTTTTCTTCTGAAAACTACCTGTGCATATACCTTTGACTGTTTATCAGTTAGGGAATGGCTCTTATTTTTATGCTTTTGGCTCAGTTCCCTTTATATTAGAGAAATAAGGCTTTTATCAGAGAAATGTGCTGTAAACATTTTTTTCCCCAGTTTCCTTCTTTCATTCTAATTTAGCTTCCTTGGTTTAGTTTCTGCGAAAACTTTTTTTGTTTATGCAAAACCTTTTAAATTTGATGCAATCAAAATTATCCATTTTACCTCCCATGGTCTTCTCTGTCTGTTGTTTGGTCGTGAACTCTTCTCTCATCCATAGATCTGACAGGTAATTTTTCCTATGTTCCCCTAATTTGCTTATGATATCATTCTTTATGTCTAAATCATGTATCGTTCTTTATGTCTAGATTTCACGTACCCATTTTAATCTTATCATGGTATACTTTGTGAGATGTTGGTCTATGTTTAGTTTCTGCCACACTGATTGCCAGTTTTCCCAGCAATTTCCCAAAAGCTTGAATCATCAGTCACTAAGTTTCTTTGGCTGTTTACTTCTGTTTATTGTGTACGTAGTCTGTTCTGCTGATCAGCTTCTCTGTTTCTTATCCAGTACTAGATTCTTTTGATAAGACAGCTTTAGTTGTTCATAGATTTTTTTCATACATTGAGTTAAAATTCAACTCCTCCCAATTTCCCCCCATTTTCTCTTTACTGGGACCAAGTGGAATAAGACTAATCCTTTTCTCATATCACTACCCTTAAGATGTTTGAAGACGAGGACCACAGAATGTGAGAACTCAGAGGGACCCCAGAATATAGAATACCAGAGCTGAGAGGCTATCAGAGCTGGCAAGGGAGGGCGCTTAGAACCTATAATGGCAGAGCCAAAAGGACCCTTAGAACACAGAATGTCAGAGCCGGGAGGGTCTTTAGAATAGAGGGTGTTAGAACTGATAGAGGCCTTAGAAATTATCTAGTCTTAACTTCCCCACTTCACAGAAGGGGGAATTGAGGCCCTGCCTTTGCTAAAGATCACAAGCTCGTTGGAAGCCAGGCTTCTTGACTTCTCCCCAGACTGGTACAATCTCCATTACACTGGCCTAACAATTCCCATGGTGTCCTTCTGTCTCTGTTAATGAAACAAACAGGCTCAGACTGGCCAAGATTCTCAGCCTCACAGGATGGTAGAGAAGGGCTAAAAGGTTTCTGATCTGGCTGATTGTTTTCCTTCCTCTTTCCCTGACCCCATAAGGTCTCACAGCCATGTAACTGCTGCTAAGCTATATTTTCCCACGTAAAGATAGACCATTTTTCCTTTATTTTTATTACCATCTGACTTTACCAGCCATGTGTTTCCATCTGTCAGGTGTTTGCTCCCTCTCCTTCCACCCCAGGCTAGTGGTTACTGACAAACTGTAACTTCCATTTTATGACTTATTTCTTCAAGGGAGTGAGCCTTCCGAAGTTGTTGGAAGCTGGAAAATTTATCTGCAAGGCGTTGGATAGAAAAAGCAATTCAAAAGTGGCCCAGGCCACTTTCAGCTCCAGGCTGTGACTTCCCCGCTTCTGCCCTGCCTTCCCCAACAGGCTGGCACGGACCTTCAGAACAAATCGTGCTATCCCTTTTCCACATGAAAGGACACACTGACAGTAGCCCAGAAATGGTAGTGCCAGGGCTAGGGGATGCCAAAGAAAAGGAATTGGGAAGTGACCTCTGTAGGAAATCAACTTCAGTTCAGTACACGTGGCTAGAAAAGCTTCCCTCAGGTAAGCTGGATGAATTGGGTCAGAGGAAGAAGCCCCAAATCCTCCCCACGAAGAGGCTTATGAGTCTGGAAGTTTTCCTGGTACATTTTCCATCATCTTTGACCCTGAGAAGAAGGACATTGTGGAGGGTGCTAGGAGAAGGCCTTGGAGCCCCTTCCTCATTGTATCCTGCTTCCCTTTTAAGAGCTCAGCCTTTCCATCCAAGGCTTTGATGACTGACCTCCCCCCCAATTGCCATCTGTTATCTGGGGATGGAAAGGGCTTTAGTGCTGCTGAAGATTAAAGCCTTCTTAGGATTTCCTGAAGGGCTGCTGCCTGGGTGCCATCCTGCCAATTGCAGGACTGTGACATTGGAAACCCTCTGATGCCATTCTCTACCTGAAAATGATTTTTAAATGTCTATCTCTAGTCAATGTAAATAAAAGGTGGAATGCCAGTGAGCCTGCAGAACGCCACTAGTGCCATGGGGAGCAAGGGGAGTGGAGATTGCTTTGGCGCTCAGCTGGGACGTACGATTTGAGGGATGGGGGAAGTCGAGGTTCTTGAAGGAGAGCAGGAACCAAACAGCATGAAGAGGGCTTGAACTAAGGCCTGCCTGATCTGTGAGCCACCCTTCCCAGTGCCCACCTAGAGATTAAATGGACTCGGCCTTTCAGACCAGGGGTGTTTTAGAAAGTGAAGAGAAAACAGTTCATAGAGAAAAGTTAATGCTGAGAATCAGACACATGGAGCTGGAAATAATTCCAGAGGCCGTCCATTACACCCCTATGCACAGACACACATTTCTACAGATGGAGAAACTGAGGCCCAGGGAGGTGACTTGCGCAGGGTCTTATAGGTAGTGTCAGAAGATTAATAGTTTACTGGGTCGTAGATTTAGGATCAAGGTCCCTAGGAAGGGACCCTAGAGTCCATTCAATCCAAACCCTTTATTTTACAGCTACAACTGAGACAAAGGGTTAATTGACTTGTCCAAGCTAACGCAGCTAGTGTTTGAGGAAGGATTTGATCCCATGTTACTCTGACTTCAAGGCCAGTGCTCTATCCGCTCCAGTAAGCTGTTCATTTATTATGCTCCTGCTGTGTACTCCTATACGGTGCTAAGCACTAGGAACCCAAAGGCAGATGTGAAACTGTCCCTGACCTCAAAGAGTTTACTTTCTACTGGGGGAGATAATATGTGCATGTGTAAGTATGCTCAGAATTCAACATCAACCCCATCAGAGCTGGCCTCCAACCTGTGAGTGGCCGGAGCCAAACAAGCAGCCGGCTAGAGGCAGAAGAGTCAAGACACAAAGCAAGAGTTTAATGAATTTCAGAGTGAGGAAAATGACATGTGCGTATGGAAGCCCCCCTCCTAGGAAAGAGAACTTAACATACTGGACCGAAGGCAAGTCTCATATGCCACAAGAGGACTGGAGTCTGACACTGTTCCCACTGGCCCTGTGGGAACAGGATTGTCTCAAGTCTTGGGGGTCATCCCACTCTGTGGGGCACGGAGCTGGAGTTCTGTGGCAGGAACAGGAGCACAATACTTGTCAGTGACAAGAAACGGGGATTGTGAACGTGCGATGTGGAAGGCCCTGGAAAATCAGGGAAGCTCAATTCCGTAGTGAACACCTGGTGCTAGTCCAAGCAATATGCTTTGCCAGAGGGTGAGATCATTCCAGGGCATAAAGAATTATTGTTATGCCACGCTCAGGGCACAGGCTGCTTGTGAGGCCTTAGCTTTGGAAAACAGAGTGTCTCCAAAATATTTTGACGCATCAAACACAATCTAGCTTGGGGAGGGCACTGGCAGCTGTAGGGTTTGGGGAAATTTCCATGTGGAAGGAAGCCCCTGATCTGAGGCTTGAAGCAAATTAGAGATTCTGAAGTCAAAGTGAACAAAGTGCATGGTAGGCATGGGGGACAGCTTGGGCAAA